ACAAAAGACTGTTCTAGCTCTAGGCTACTCATGGCCTCATGGACGACTTCTTAGCAGGTCATTATTCTCTACAACTAAAAGTCAATATCAATTATCCTGTCTATTTCAAAATAATTCCTTTCCAAGTGGTCCAGAATGACTAGATGAGATCAGAGCTATTCAAATTGACCTTTCTTGGGTTTAGAGAAACAATTATGAAAATGCCTTTTCAAATCATGCTTACTGCAATTATTAGGGCAGGCTGTACTGGCACTTTCCTCTCCCACTGTTTCCAGCACAGTCACAGAAGTTTTGGTTTTATCTTAGTCATTACCTTGCAGTAGAAGTCTGGAAAAGTTTCTTAAACTCCCAAGCCCTCACAGTCACCATCTTTAAAATATAGTTGTAAGACCTATTCATCATCCCTGAACTTGAGGGCAAATCTACATTCTACATTATATTCTAATAGAATTTAAGATGCGTGACTGTGTAAGTATTAATTTTAACTATTACTATTTAGCACACTTTCAGAAAAGATGAATTTCTATTGGTGTGGTGTTTCCTTCTTGATATATGAGTCATCAAGTAATTGACAGTTAAAGAAAAAGGGTCATCCTTTGACCTTGGCCTCATACAATGAAAGGAAACCATAAGTGGTGGAAGGTCTCTGGAAGGAATGGTCACTTAAAGGAGATAGCATCTTCTCTTCTGGGAAAAAATTTTCTTGATAACTATGTTCTTTATGCATATTCGTTTTTTTCCAAGTCTCTGCCTTATAACCTTAATTACCCAATCTTATGTATTTTTTAACGTTTATTTTGCTAGTGTCTACCATTTTGTGCTTTAGCCTAACTCTGGAGCCTAAGAATTGTCTCAGTGAAAATGCTGCTGAGTACAGCTTTAATGCCACAAGTACTTGGTGGCCCTCCCTTTCCCCTTGTCGGTTATCTCACATCACCTTCCCACGCCTTAGCCTGCTTCATGTGCACCCTGCACACCCTCTCTTGTAAATCCTGTTATATGCATTTCCACGCCCACTTGGCTGGGCATCCTGTCACAGTGGGTCAGCTGTGCTCTTCCCCATATCTCTTTCAATTGCCACTGGGTCACTCTATAGATATGTATCTGTTAATGAAAGACTGAATGAGACGTGATTGATTCTAGTGCAGTGTTGTTTTCCTCTATCCAGGGACACTAGAGATTTGTTCTTATCTTCAATTAGTGGACACACATTTTCTTGGCCTTAATTTTCTGCCTTGATGACAGATGACATACTGTTATTACCTGATCATGTGAGATATTTTACAAGTTTATAAAGTGGTTTCATGTATCTCTTGTGTCTGAAAATGACAAATTCTCATCCCTTTGAGGAACTGAAAAACGTGAACTCATCTCTCCCACCCCCAATTTGTTATAAGAAGAAACTGAGGCATTTCCCTAGCCCCAATGTATTTCCAGAAACATATGAGATCTGCTTCCAAGCGTGCACCCTGGTTCTCAACCATTTTTGCCTTCCATTTCACCTTCTAGGAGTCAGAGCTCCGGGCTCTGAATCCATAGCACAAAAGCATGAAAACTGTACCCTCGCTTTTGTTTCAAGAGGATTTGTTTGACTCTGTATGTAAGAATCTTGAAGCCTTGTTGTGTCTAAAGGAAGCTTGAATGTGGAGCAAGGGAAGGGGCAGAGTGTGGACAACTTGTCTATGTGTGGGGTGGAGGAATGGCCTGACTCCTGGGTAGAGGGAAGCTCTTGTGTTTAAATGTCTGAAATTCAGCCAGTTCAGTGCTGTTTATAAAGACTTTTTCTTCTGGCCTTGGCTTTAAGTAAATCAGTGGTGCCTCACTTTCTCTTAGCACTCTTGTAATTCTGTAATCTGCGTAAAACAGAGGTCTCACCTGAAGATACCCCCTTGGAACACTATAAAGTCATATTGTTCTGGAAGGGATATTAAAAAATCTCCTCTTTCCTCCTCTTCCTTCTTCTTAATCTTCTTCTTGATTGTGCTTATCACCATCATCAATACCATTGTCATGTTTATTCAAATCAACTCTGTAGCATTGTCACCATCTTCATCATCATCACCATCTGTTTTGTCAAGGAAATACTTTATGATTTGCAAATATTTTCCCTTCTTTTAACGCATTTGACCATCACAGAACCTCTGAGTGGTAGGCCAGTAGGGATTAAATATGCTCATGCCAGAGACATGAAAACTAAGGTTTATACTGGTAAGTCTCCTTGTTTAAGACACAGAGGTAAGAATGAAATCGAGCTGCCTCTCTTCTGAACAGTAGTGAGGCAATGGAGAAGTTTTCTTTGGGAAATAATGAGGTGGGCAAATGAAAGAAGCAGGTAAGATAAGAAACTGGAAGAACCAAGGAGTTAGGTCTTACAGAACTGAGGTTTAGGTTGGGATTCCTAATACTAAGAGATTGAGCAGGGCAAACTCTCCTGGACTTAAGATGTGATCTGAGATACTTCTGATGTTTGCAAAGAGTCCACATCTTTATTACTCTCCAATTGTCTTTATACCGTCTAAAGACAAATTGGGCTTTTGAATGTTTTTGTTATTATTGTTGCATTTTGAGTTGGTAGGCCTACGTTGCAATGTGAAGGCTTTTATACCTTTCAGGTACAGATATTGGCAGAAAGACATGAATAGGGAGCAATGACAGCTGCACTATTTGAAAGGATATGTTCTCCTTTTCTCATCTCTAAACCACACAGAGCAGCCTTTCCAGCGCCATGCATCATCCATTCGAGGGAAGGGAGGGGAATAGAAAATTAAATATAATTTATGCTTTGCTAATTGAAATCAAATACAAAATTCAATCTCCCGTGAGTTGCAATGCTCATGTTTAAATAGGGTGGAAGTATTATTAACCTGACTCTATTTCAGCAAGTTGACTTGGCTTTTCTGGATAGAAAATAATTCCTTCGTCAAGTCTCCCCATTGAAGAAGGGAACTCGGCTTAGTGTCTCACTCTCAGAGTGACAAGGATCAGCTAGAATAGGCACAGAAGGAAACAGACCTTAAACATGTCAAATTTGCATTTCCTTTCAGAACGACAATACCAAACATGCTTAAATATAGAAATTCTCAAAAGCCCAAGGCTTAGGCCTCTGCCTTGTTTCTCCATGGAATTTTAGTCTACTATTATTTGTAAGAGTATATAAATAATTTAAAGGGGGGGATCCCACTCTAATCTCCCAGATGAGATGACTTATTCACCATTGGCTAACCATACTTTTTTTAAATGATGTGCTTGTCATATTTATAGGACACATTTGTGTAAGGACCCATGCTCAGTGGTAGCTTTCTTTGGAAGCAAGGCTTGATGTTATGAGTTTATGGGGACGGCAGATAGCCAGAGAGATGGAACATAGACAGTAGGTGTGACTGAAAGGTCTAATGAATGTGTGTCTACACAGAACAAAAGAGATGAGGATAGGTTAGAGTAATGGCCATTCGTAGTTAGTAGATTAACATGTTTAAAGTTTTCCTACAACCGGATACTTTTTTTTTTTACTGTCAAGGCTATCAGGTTACCCCTTACTTACTTACCACTGAACTCCAAAACAGAACATGCTTCTGCAAGGAAGCTATAAAATGGAGGCCATGTTTCTTGGAAATAATTGCCACAAAAAAAACATAAAAGGAGGTGGAAGGGAGCAAAGAAATACATAGACAAGATTTCCTCTGGTTGCTTCCAGGCCTGCTTTCATAGGAGTATTTTTGAAAGAAGAGACACCTGAGCCCCACCGTAGAGTTTCTGACTCTTTAACAGGTCTGAAATGGAACTCAGGAAGCTATGCCTTAAACAAACTCCATAGCTGACTCTGACATAACTAGGGCTGAAAACTCACTCTCTTTGCCCTGATTATAAAGAACAAAATCATGAATTTCGCAGCAACCTGGATGGAACTAGAGTCTATAAAACTGAGTGACCTCTCATAGAAACAAAGATCCGAGTATCACATGTTCTCACTCATATAATGAACCTTGAACATCCAATGTAATACTATAAGAAAATGACTGACGGTACTGGGAAACTATGGGGGGGAGGGGATGGGATTAACAGTTGCAAATATCTGTCTGGGGCTGGGGAAACACCTCTTATCAACAGGGTGCCTGAATGAAACGTAATTGTACACCTAACCCTTAACTGTACCCCACAAAATCATAAAAAAAATATTGATTTAAAAAAAAAAGAACAGCCAAAGTACTTTGTTTATTCAGATGCTGTGCTATAAAATGCCTTACACTGTTACACAAGAGAAGTCAAGCTTGTGTCCTAGTGACTTAAATAAATGGCTTCTTGGCTAGTTAACCAACTAAGGCCACATTCCTAAGTAGTATTTAATCTGATTATACCCTGGTGTTTATAATATGATTCTTCTGTTGGGCTTCTCTGTCTTTCTTGGTAAATCTCACAGTTCCTTCCTTATTACCATCTGACATAAAGAAATAAAAATCCCTTTGTTGTCAAATTACTTTACTGTATAACCTGTAAGAAATAAAGGGAAATAAAAACTTCTATGTTTGAGTAAAAAATAAAAATAAATAAAAATAAAAAAATATAAAAAAATAAAACAAGACCCCATATCAGCCAGTTCCACAGTTCACCTTTCTGAATAAATGTGCATTTTCTTCATTCAAATATGTGTATGCGTTGATCTATGTTTCCTTTAACTTTGATGGTGCAGGTATATCTGTTGCCTTCATCTCAATAACCACTTTCTTACCTGGAAAAGAATATATATCTATAAGGCTGTTTCTGCATCTGGCATATCAGTCCATTCTTTGCCAGGATTGGTTAAAATAGGAAAAATTGTTCCTTTTTCAGGAGCCACTTTCATTGTGCTACTGCAAGAATCACCCTGCCCTGAAGAAGGAACCCTCCCAAGACTCTTGAATCTGGGCTTTTGCGACCAAACCAGAGAAAAGATGCTTCTGACATTCCAGGGTGGGGGTAGGGATGGAGGTGACCAACACAAACACACCATCAAAACCCATTAATCAGGTTGCATTAAGCTTTATAACAACACAGTTTTCATTTAGCGGGAGAAATGACAGTTTAATAACAGCTGAACAGATTTAACTCCCCCCATTCATACAAATTTCCAGTTTTACTAGAACAATTCCCGGTATTGGAGATCTGTGAACAAGTGCTTTATGTCAAATGGTGCATTTTAATAGAATCAAACTAATGAGAAGGGACACTTTATTCGGCAGCCCTTGATGGGGGGATCTGCAGACAGCCCTTTCTCTCCCCCATGCCCCATAAACTGGATCTGATCAATGGAGTCAGCCTTCTCACCGCTATTCTGATACCTGCCATCTCTGGACAGAGACAATGAAGCATGAGATGACCCTGAGGGGGCAGGGGTGGGGCAAATAGGAGAAAGGTGACTGCTGCCCTCCCTACTGCATCAATAAGGGTTATTCATAATAAGAGACTCACCAACTTTCTGGTCTTTGCTCATCTGGGGACCCTAGGGGATACAGCCCATCCCAAAAGCATGCCTCGGAATCACGGTGCTTGGGGAGAGACTCTTCAGGTAAGACCTCCCACCAAGAGGACTGGATTTGTTTTTTTCACCCCCAGATATGGCCATTCATCTCTGCCAGCCTCAGTGCTCTGAACTCAGCTACAATTACATCACTCTGCGAGCAGCTTTACGGGCCTGATTCTAACACAGGTGCGTGTTCTAAGCCACAATCCAGGATACTCATGAAGAGAGAGACCCAACCCTCCTTAGAGGGCTTTTAGAAAGAAGGCTTCTAGGGGTGTCAATTTTTGGGGGGTGAGGGAGGAAGTGAGGAACGTGCATGCCTCTGCCTTCATGACGTGGGGAGGGAGGAAGTCAAGGTGTTGTGGGATGAGGCCTTTACAGAGAAGGCTAGAATCACCTTAGAGGGAGGACCTTGCTCCTTGGGAGTCCTTGAAGCACTCCGCTGCAAAGTGCATTCTGGAGAGATGCCAAAGCAGAGGATTAGACGGCAAGTGCTTGTGCCAGACACAGGGCTAGAACCCCAGTTTCCCAAACTAAAGTGGGAACGCCTGTAATGTAGAGCTTTCTTTCTTTTTTGTCACTCAAATAAATATTCATAGCACTGTCTCTGACATTCACAGCTATTTATCCTCTGTCTTCAGGCTCTATTAACTAGCGGAAGATAAGAATTAACAGTGAGTTCTGGTGGCCATCTGGTCAACCAGATGCTGCTGCCAAGACAGGCCGGGTTTCTCCATGAGGATGCCATGGGATCCACCCCTTTGCCTAAACCAACAGCACTGGAGGCAATTCTGGCTGGATGAAGAGGGAAATCTACTCAGTACTCCAGCCAGTGAAGCTGTAGAACCTGGAGTATTCAGGACTCAGGCAAGGAGCCTCCTTAGCTATTCACTAGCCTTCCCGCCACATCCCTAGACTCATTTGTCACCCTCCTCCTGTTCCCACCGGAAATCTTGACCAGTCATTTGGTAAAACATCATGTTGAAAGGTTTGTAGAATTTCCGCAGTCTGTGGATAACATCAGGGTCAATGCGGGGATGAGTCCGACCTTTGCTCTTGCCTAAGCACCTCGGGGCACTGCTGTCTTCTGGCTTCTTTAGGCAAGGAAACCCCTTGGTTTTGTTGAAATAGAAATGCTTCTCAGTCACGACACGCTTGAGGCCTAGAAAATCCTGTACTTTGGCCATTTCCCCGGCGGGGTCCACAATGAGTCGCTCACCACTGACAAAGAGGATCTGGGAGAGGGGGAAGTACTGAAGCCAGTTTTCCAGGTGCAGAGCATAGATCCCTATTCGAATGGCACTCCACGAAGCATCGATCAGCCCTAGGGTCCGATTTTTGAAGGCCAACACCTCGAAGGTGGGGATCTCAGGTTTCTTTGACAGTGTCTGGGTGTAGTCGGAGATGGCCCTGGTCACAGGGTTTCTCACCACCACAATCAGTTTGATGTCCTTGGCCATGGAGTGAATGCGTTTGGGAGCCTCATTGGTCACAAAGTAACTTGGAGTCTTCTCCATAGTTAGTTGCCCATCCAAAGTCTTGGGCATCACATTTCTAGAAGAGGGAAGAAAAGGAAGAGAATGGTTATCTCTATCCCCAAATATTTTAGCTTCCTTTACACAAAACATGTGATATAGATAACCTAGTAAGAAGCCACCAAATAAAACTGACAGACACTTGAAAGTTCTTTTTACCTTTATCCCCCAATTACAGTGTTGACTATGTATCATCAGGAAAGGCAGCATACGGTATATGCATTCTTTCATGGGAACCTTGTATTCCTGGGTTTAAATTGCTGTTCTACTTCTTACCAGTTATGCTTAACCTAGATGCACCCTTAATTTCTCTACATATTAGTTTTCTAAGCTCTGAAATAGAGATAATGACAGCACTGACTTCACACTGTAGTATCAGGATTAAGAGAGATAATGCTTGAAAAGCATTTAGCACAGAATCTGGTGTGTGTAAGATCTTAATAAGTTAAGGATATTATTATTGTTGTAGTGGCTTTCAGAAAATATTCGAGCTCAACAAGATCTCAAGGTTTAGCCAGTCCAGAACTGGCAAACTATAGCCTGCCTTCTGATTTTGTATGACCCACAATTAAGAATGATTTGTAATCTTTAAATGACTGGGGGGGGGATAAAATAATAATAATAACATTTTGCAATGCTTGAAAATTCTATTCAAATTTCAATTTTCATAAATAAACTTCCACTGGAACATAGCCACGATAATGGGGTGTATGCATCTATGGTTGCTTTTGCACTGCAATGTAGACATCAGTAGGTGTAACCAAGACCGTATGACCCACAAAGCCTAACATATTATTTACTACTACTTGGTCCTTTCAGGAAAAGTTTGCTGACCCTTTACTTGGTCCAAAAGTATTATTGTACAAATGAGGAAAATGAAGTCCAGGGACAGGAAATGTACATGGGAATCAGACAAGCTTTATTATCTCAGTAAGTTGAATCACAACTCACAATCTAAATTCCTCATTGGTAAAATCCTGAAACTGGTAAGATTTTATTCTCAAGTTCAGTTGCAAATAAAATGGCATACAGAGTGAAAGCATCTAGCACAGGCCTGGCTCAATATATGGGATTATATCCTTTCTTTCTTTTCAAGGCTACCCAATGAGCCACTGCTAGGCTCATATCAGGGCCCATATCTCTTTGTTTCCTTGCCAAGGATGCTAGTCCACATCCACTCCTCCATTCGCATTTGTCTTCAGAATAGCCTTATCTTATTTGGGAGCTCCAAGATATTAAAGGCAGTTAGTTGGTGCCATTTTCCCCTCATACCAAGGTGGTAGGACTCTCAGTGATAAAATGAGGCTTAGGATCCTATTATACAGTCAATTTGCTATAGGCATATGTAGACCAAAGTTAATTGACGATAAACCTGTTCAATACCTGTCAGTACAGAAGGCCATCTGCCACCATGTGCTCCATTAAGTCTATTCACTTCCGAGCCTTGCACCAAAGTGGTACATTTAGGATTACACAAGACCTCTTTGTTACGATGACATGCTTTTAAATGTCTCAGCTAATAAAATTTAATACAGACGACGATCCCTTAGCTTCTCGTACCATAATTAAATTTATTTACTATCGCGCGCGTGGAGAAAGAACGACTTTTCTTTTATCTCTAATTCACATGCTCTGTCAATAATTAATTGCAACTGGGTTTTGAGCTTTCTCGGCAAGCACTTTTATGAGGCAAAAGGAATTTGCCTCGCAGAGAAATTCACATAGAGCTGGATGCTGTTAGAGTATAATGGTTGGGCAGCACGGTGTTTTTGGATCAAAGCAATAGCCCTGGCCATAAATAATCATGCTCATCTTGGAGTAACATATTCTCCAAAGTGTTTTTAATGTTTTCATGTGTGTGTGCCTGTTTGGCCCCCACCGGATCAATTTGTCTAATATGAAGGGGCAGGACTAAGAAACACAGCCTTTGGGAATCAGATTTGCCTGAATTAAGAGTTGTGATTGCCCAAGTCACCTTGATGAAGTTCCTTAACCCATTTTGAGCCTTGATTTCTCACCTACAAAACAGGGTTAATAGGAGTCTGTTCCTCTTAAGATTTTAATGAAGATTGAATGTGATAATGTAGGTAAATCAATTTAGGATTGTGCCAAATTAATGCCAGATTTTTTTAAAACTTAAATCAGCTGCCCAAGATCAAGGTCATTCTTACAGCAATTCTTAAAGAAGAGTAAGAAAAAAATATTTATATTTGACCAAATGGAAAAGATGGGACAACATGGGAACTAAGGAACTGATCCAGAAAAAAGTCTATTCTGATTCAAGCCAATATCATCAATTGTCCTTTTTGATCTAGAGGCTGGTGATCAATGAGGGAGCTACCAATAGCTCAGCCCAAGTACAGAAAATATACTGATATCCTATTTTTATTTCAATTGGAGAGATATACTTCCTTGTTTTATTATGAAATTTATATCATAGTATAAAAATATTAAATAAATCTTGATACAAAAAACACCTGGAAAAAGCTATTTTTACATGGTCTTTTCTAGGTTTTAATTTATCAGATGTATTTTTAGTTCCTCAGATGTATTTATCTTGTTGTATTTTTTTAGAATAGGAGCAGCTGTTCAGATTTTTATTTTATCCATCCTTCACCTTTCATTTTGTACACCTCGGTGTTTATCTTTACTGTAAACTCCATTCAAATACATCTCCTTTACTTTAGTTAAACTGTCAAGTTTTCTGTGGAACTTGAGTCTTTATCTGAAGCATCTGGGATGAAATGGTACCCAACCTACATGCCAGTAGATGTAGGAGAGTAAGTGTGTGCCTAGCTCAGTGCTGGTGCAAGAAGGAATAAAAGAAGATATTGGGGAAGGCTTTGGAGAAGGTAGAGGGAAGCAGAGGCACCTACGTGACTTTGACCATCATGCTAGAGATTAATATTAAAAGCACATAATTTAGGAGAGTTCCTGCACTTGGTGTACAAATAGTAAAACTATCTCATTTAGCCAAGACTCAACTGTTGTGAACTGAGTTTTACAGGTTATTTTGCCAGTAAGAAGATATCCATTAGCTGCTCAGAATCTATGATACATCAATTTTCCCTTTCTTAAACAGATTTTTGAATCAGTTATATTCATTCATTCATCCATCCATTCTATAAATGTTCACTTACTGGTAATGTAACAGTGAACCAAACAGATGTAGTCCCTTCCTCCATTAAGCTAAGAGTCTCGATACCACAGCTGATAATGTAGAGCTCTTTGTAGCATCACATATTGAACTATTTTAATCAACAGAGAAGGTATCATTATTATTCCAGTTTTACAGAGAAGGAAACAGGCTCAGAACCTAAATATGTTCCAAGGTCTCACAGAGTGAACATGCCTTTTGTTTCTAAGTTCAGTGACTGAGCAAGAGTAAGTCAGTACCAGCATCCGTGCCTAACACCAGCTCCTGGCAAATAGCAATACATATCTGTTAAAAGAATAAGATGGGTGAATGACAAGCCACTGATCTCCTCTTTAAGTGTAGGCCAGTCCTAAGGCTAGGTTTTTGTTGTGATTGGTTTTGATGCCCTAAGCTTCCTTTTCCCTACCCTTGTCTCCCCACTAGGGCTCTCATCGGGGTCTCCAATCCAGCCACTATTTCTACACCACGCTGGTCTCCCTCTTGCTGTAAGAATAGAGGAGGCATCTCTCCTACTGGATAAGCCCAACCCCCGACTGGACTTTAGATCTTATCCCCTCCACCTTCCCAGGTACTTTTCACCTTCAATTTCCCTTCTCTCTCCTAGGTTTTATGTAAGTTCTTCTCAACCACCTTTGACATTTCTACATGCTCATGTTCTCACACCTTGATGTGTTCCAGAGACCAGAAGAAGACCACTAATGCTGAAGGAAAATGAGCAATATTAAGAAAGTCAGAAAATAAGATCAGTGAGAGGGGCAGAAAATAGACCATAGAGGGCTTATGGATAATGGGAAAGATGTAGAAGTTTTTGTTATATGCAATGAGAAAACATTGAAGAATATTGTACAAGAGAATATGATATGATTTACATATAATTTTTTTTCCCTCTGGTGGCTTTGCTGAGAACAGATAAGAGTGTGGCAGAAATAGAAGAAAAAAGACCATTTCAGGAGAACATGATAGAAATGGCAGAGGTCTCAGTATAGGTGAAGAGGGCAATGTAGTAAGAAATTTTCAGAATTGGGATGGATTTTTTTTTTGAGTTGGCATCTCACTCTGTTGCTCAGGCTGGAGCACAGTGGCACAATCATGGCTCACTACAGCCTCAACCTCTTGGGCTCAGACAATTCTTCTGCCTCAGCCTCCTGAGTACCTTGGACTATAGGCATGTGCCACCAAACCTGGCTAATTAAAAATTTTTTTTTTGGTAGAAACTAGGTCTCTCTATGTTGTCGAACTCCTGGCTTCAAGCAATCCTCTTGCCTCAGCCTTCCCAAAGTGTTGGAATTATAGGTGTGAGCCACCATGCCCAGCCTTGAGATGGATTTTAAAAATAAGGTCAACTGTCCGTAATAAGGAGGGAGGATGTATGTACAAGAGAAAGGAGGCATCACAGATGACTCTAGGGTTATTATTGTGTGCTGATGACTAAGTGATAGTATAGTTTGCTAATATAGAAAACACTGGGAATGAAGAAGGTTTTGGGTGGGGGGAGGAAATACCAAGTCCGATTTTGAACTTGTAAAATGAAATAGTGCTATGTACCTAAGTGGAGGTGCTGAGTAATCATCCTGACACAGGAGGCTGAATATAAGGGAGACCAATACTGGAGGTGGATAAGTATGTCATGTGCTCACATTCTACCTGCCAGGAAATAGGGAGAAGAATGCTTGCCCCCTTTTTACAAAACTTCAGGTGTAGAAGGCATGGCCTACCCTTTGTCTATCTGGGGAGTTCTCTCAGATACAAAAGGTGTTCAGATGTTGGGTGTGTCAAAATTTTTTTTAATTCCATTACAAAAATTTTCACTAACTTATTTTAATTCCCAGATTCCTTGATAACTGCTTGTACTACAATAATGAGCTTAGAATAATGTCACCATGTGATTTGCTCCCCTGACCTTCATGGCTTCTCTTGAGGCCACAAGCAATGTTTTGTTCATTCTCCAATGCCTAGCACAGAATCTGTACACAGTAGCTGCCCTGTAACATTTTGTGATTACTGCATGAATAAACAAATGACATACAAATTAATACATGGGTCCTTGAAGTCAGAGGAATTGGGGCAGTTCAAAGGACATTGCTCCTCTAGTAGAGTAGGTCTTCCATGCTTGGGATTTAGCATTTCTGAGTTTTGTGCCATTCCTGTCTGAAAGACCATGCACTTCAGTGTGGACCATATGGTGAGAAAACACTGCATCTGGGCTTGGCACAGCTCGTTAACAGTATCTCGGGTGCTCAGAGCAGCCGTGACATCAGCGTCAACACACAGTCCTGAAGCGAGAATCATTCTGCAAGATCACACATCTGCTCTCACAGCCCCAAATGTTTATGAGACACTCTCCAACTCACCCTCCTGTCCCCACCCCACTCTGCTGGTGCTGGCACTCTGCTAAGCTCAGCCCCATTTGAATGCGGGTCAGCTGCTGGGGGTGTCACAGGAAACAACAGTGATTAACAATAGTTGACATCCAACCTGGAGTGAGCACCACCAGCCATTGAGCTCACTCCATGTGATGTTTCCTGGCTGAGTTCAAGTTCGGAAGCTAGACTGACTTCCCTATGCATTTTCAGACACTAGACTCTCCAGCCTAGTAGTTAAGAGCAGAGGCTCAGGAGACAGAGTTAACAAGTTTGTATCCATTTATTAGCTGTGTGGTCCTGGACAAATTATTTAACCCAAGTAACTGGAAAGCAGGCATTATACTAATAATACCCTTCTCATAGGGAATTTATGAAAATTAAATGAGTTAATATCTAGAAGAGTGACTCACATATGGTAGGTTTTCACTACATTTGCTGTTAATTTTTTTTTTTAGAGACGGGGTCTCTCTGTGTTCCCCAGGCTGGTCTCAAATTTCTTGCCTCAATATCCCAAAGTGCTGGGGTTACAGGTGAGAGCCATGTCTAGTCCCTAGCTGTTAATTTTTTAAACAACTCTTTTAAAAAGGTACTATTAAATCTCCCCCACTTTAAAGATCAGGAAATAGAGGTCTAGTGAGATTGATTTGTTTACTCAAAGCCACAAGAGGTAGAGGCAGAATTCAGTCCGAGATCTGTCTGACATCATAGCCCAAGCTCTTGTTCACTGTCTGACAATGCTTAACCAAATGAAAGAAGCTTGGCAAGGGGACATGACCGACCCAAGGTCACTGTGCTAATCTTTAGGTGGCAAAGTTGAATCTTAAAATAAGACTCATTATGTGTGCTGCAAAGGTGAGTTATCCCGGACTTACCACTGGGAGTTATAGAAACGCAAGCTAGACTCCCTACAAATTCTTGCCAGATCAAGCTACATCATTCAATTTGTGATATCTCTCTCTAGGGCCTTCTCAATGGAAGCAAATGGAGACCATCATGAATGCTGAGGGAGAGAGCAATCACTCGCATTAGATATAAAGTGCCCATTCTCTCTGGAAGGGTCAGGAGCAGAGCTTGCCTTTGCCTTGCCTGAATTAGAGGTGTGTGGGCACCTTCCATTTTCCCAAATGCATCATACAGTGGAACAAATGGTGCATAAATTAGCAATGTTTTCTGAGCCCTCCTGATGAACCCAAGAGAATGGTGGCTAGATCAAGGGCATGAAATGAGATAAGGCCAGTTCCTCTGCATTGAGGAAAGAAATTCACTTAGAAATTCAATGAAGCACCTACTACTTGTTGAGCACTGAGCAAGGCAATTTCATATGGTGTCTTGGTTATGCCTTATGAGTATTATATGATTCACCCAGTCCATTATAGAGATGTGAAAACTGAGAGCCAGAGAGATAAAGAACCTTGTCCAAGGATGCATAGCCAGGTCCTTGCCCTGTCCAGCTATGTTGGAAAGTTCATTGGGCTTTCCAAACCCAAATTCATGAATTCTGAAATTCCAGAAAGTGAAAAGTCAAACCACTTGAAGACCACATTCTTATATAGAGACCCAAGAAAATGAGTCATACATATGGCCCTGGGGTCATAGGGCTTTCAGTCAAAATGAGAAAGAAGAAATCTTGCGTTATAGTTTGACTTAACAACTAACTAGCAGGATGAAGTTACGACATGGACTTGCCCTCCCTGGATTTCAGATTCCTATATAAGGAAAGAACTATATAAATATTTGTCCTTAATTCCTTAATATTGTTCCTTAATTCCACTGAATTTATTGGTGCTTATTATGTACCAGTTGTTAGCTATATATTGATGATAAAGCAGGTATAGTTCCTGCTCTTCAATATACTATAAGTTTTTGGAAGGAAAAGCCTGTGTATCCCATTTAGCAAAGTGATCTGTGATTCAGATGGGACATTTCTACTGTGGAAAGAAGTCTCTTTTTAAAGAGGATCATATTTGCCAAGTCCCAATGGCATGACAATATGCCTACAAGACAGAGAAGGAAACAGAAAGGTTTGGGACAGAGAAGAGAAATGGATAAAGAAGAGAAGTAAAGAACAAAGGAGATTAGAAAAAAGAAATCGAAATAAAGATGAGAGGAAGGAAAGGAGGAAGGAAGAAGGAGGAGGAGCTGGGCTTTGAAAATGCACAAAGAATTTAAATAATTGGAAAAGAATGAGGAAACCATCCCAAGTTTAAATGACACAGGACAACATTGTGGAGGAAAATAACAAGCCCAGGTTTCAAGCGTTTTTGTTTGTTTGTTTTAAAGTTTGCACCAGGAAGATACAGAAATTTTAGGGTTAGAAGGTCTATGATGATATTCATCAGAGACATTCCACTAATTGCAGTTGACTGAGAAGGTAGATAGATACTTGTTATCCCCCATGATATATCAATGAATAAATTGAAGCTTGAAGTTAAGTTTCTTGTCTAAGACCGCACAGTTCCTGTGTGGCAGAGTTGGGATTTGAAGCCCAGCAGAGCCTACACTCCTTACCACTATTCAATAGAACAAAGGAGAGGAAGGTCCAATGTGAAGCTAGAGGCAGGAAGAGGAACAGTCGTGTCCTGAGGTGGAGAAGTGAGGGTCCAGGTGTTGAGATCTGGCAGTTGGGATGTACTTGGGACCAGACAGAGCAATATTTAGGAATTTCCTGCCTAATGGCTGTGGTATTCCTCATGACAGGAGAGTAGGGTTGTTATGCTTGAAGGCCTTGGAAGTGGGGCTAGAATACTCACAGGAACATAATGTGGCTGAATGATATATTAACAACTTATGGATCATGGCGACCTATTGAAAAATTATCCCGTGTTTGATTTTCCCTCCAGAGACTCCCCTGGAAGAAAAGGCAGGAGATTTATTACCACTCTCACTCCACGAACACCACCATCACACAAGGACAGCAGTCAGTATTTTATTTCCAAGGTCTGGCTAATTTTTATCTCTAAGTGATGCATTCACTTGCTCTATTTTATGAAATGAAAAAATGGTTTTTGAGCACCCTAGACAAATCCACTTGGAAATCTTTATGTTTCAAAGATCTAAGTTTTACCCAGGGATTCTTAATCTCAACTCTCTCAACATTTTGGGATAGATAACCTTTTCTTGTAGGGATTGTCCTGAGCATTAGAGGAGATGCATAGTAGTATCCTTGGCCTCTACCCACCAGATGCCATAGCAGCCTTTAGTTATGCCAATCACAAATGTTGCCAAAAGTCCTTCGGGGGTTCAAACCACTCCCAGTTGAAAGTTACTAATCCAACTGGTCTCATCAAACTACCTAGACTTGAATATGGGTTCTGCCCTTTACTAGAGGTGGGACTTTGGGCAAGTTAACTTAAACTTTCTCTGACTAGATTTCCCCACCCATAAAATGGAATAATGATGATGATAATGATATGATAATAGATATCTTAGAAAATTGTTTTAAAAAAATAAAGAGTTCACATGTATGCTGCCTTTATTGCCTGATAGATCATAAGCACATAAGTGTTTTCTATCATTATTACTGTGCCTATTATTATGCCACTGAGACGACCTGTAGGCTGTGTCCCAGCTTCTGGAATTGTGACTATCTGTTATTGCTGAACAGAAAACTGGATATAGGAAAAGTCCTAGTGGGTGTTTGTATGGCTGGGCACTAAGTGTTAAGTCTTTGAAGACACTCTGGTCAAGCTTGGTACAGAGAGGTGGGGCCACCGACAGAGCCAAACCCCACATGAGCAAGTGAAGACTTATGTCTTATGTCTCTGAGCTGCCTCACAAGAAGTGTCAGAGGGGTGAGGTTAGGGATCCTAGAATACCCATCTCCAGACGAGAGTAAACATTGTGTCCAATAGGTAATTTTTCAGCCTTCATTCCCCTCCCACTCTCTCCCTTTTTGGAGCCTCTGGTGCCTATTATTTCTCTCTGTATGTACATGTGTACCTATTCGTTAGATCTCACTTGTGAGTGAGGATGTACGTTATTTAATTTTTGATTTTTGAGTTATTTAATTTAACGGTCTTGAGCTTCACCCATGTGGCCATGAGAAACATGATTTCATTCCTTATTGTGGCTGCATGCCATAGTGTATATACACCACATTTAAAAATCCAGTCATCTATTGATGGACACCTAGGATGATTCCACGACTACTTTGCTATCGTGGAAAGTGTTAAGTCAGATTTAATTTCTTTTTTTTTTTTTGAGTTGGAGTCTCACTCTGTCGCCCAGACTGGAGTGCAGTGGCCACTCCCGGCCACCGCAGCCTCCACCTGCTCTGGCGATCCTTCCACCTCAGCCTTCCGAGTAGCCGGAATTACAGGCATGCGCTACCACGCCCGGATGATTTTTTGATTTATTGTAGAGATGAGGTCTCACTGCCTAGGCGGGTCTCGAACCCGTGGGCTCAGGCAATCCACTCACCTCAGCCTCCCAAAGGCACGGGATTGCAGGCTGAGCCACCGAGCCCGGCCCAGATTTAATTTCAATTAAAACATAGGAATCTTTTTTGAATAGTAAGGGCTAATAAATAATTTATCTGTTTTACAGAAGACAATTATCAACAGACTGAGTATCCAGCTGAAGTTAGGAATTATAATTTGTACTAATAATAATCTACTCAGTGCTTAGGGGGCAGGTGTACATTTAGGAGTATGTGCCAGGAAGGTGGCAAAATGGCTAAGAGACAAAAAAACTGAGGATGCTTGTGAGTGCTTGAGCCTTGGATCATATTTGTGTCCCAGTCAGGGAATGAGTGAAGGAGCTCAGGAGAAAGCTGATGGATATGAAGACAAGAGGAGTTGAAGGGACTAGAGGACCTGATGAAGACATTGGAGATGGAAGGTTGACTCTCTCTCTGATATAATATGAGGAGAGACCTGAATTATCTTCATGGTTTTCTTGATGATTCTACTAAGAAAAAAAAATACA